TTTTTTTTATCTGTTTCTGTTCTAGATCCTCTAATCATGTCTTTCACTCTGCTCACCATCTCTGTGGATATCTGGGAGATTATTTCTGCTTTGAATTTTTCTAGAGTTGAGGCCATTTTAGACAAGATCCTATCTCAAAACAAAACCATAACAACAAAACAACTACTAACAAACAAACAAACACAAAAAACCAACTTGTTACTTACTCTGGATTGAGATCAATTTAGGTTCAAATGCTGGACTCAGTGCTTACCTGCCTGGTGACATACAGCACATTATTTAACCCATTGAAGTTTTAACTTACTCATATTAAGTGGGCATGAAATAGTACTCTGGAAATACAGTTTTTAGGACGTCTAGCCTATCTTGTGCTTCCATAAGCACATCCTAATGAGGGGAGCTAGCTTTGGTCTTGGCTGTGTGTGGGTGTGTGGGTGTAGCGCTGGGGTTTGAACCCAGGGGCTTGCACTAGCTAGGTGAGGATTTATCACTGAGCTCTACCCCTACCCCTTATTTTCTCAATGTCAGACCATGCTGTTCAAATACAATGCTTTTTTTGAGACATGGTCTCATTGTGTAGGTTCACAGTGGACTTAACTCACTATATATCACAGGCAGGTCTTGAACTCCCAATCGTTCTGCCTCAGCCTCCCAAATGCTGGGATTATAGGCATGTGGCACCAAGAGCATTAATGCTGCTCCTCTTACTGGTAACTGCTCTCCATTTGGAGTTTGGGGCACTCACTGTATACTCTCTCCATCTGGGTAGTGTGTATCTGATAGTATGTATCTCAGGTATGGCCAAGCTGAAGATAGTGTATCTAAGGGCTTTGTTTAACAGATAGGTGTAGCACCCCACCAGAGCCAATGAGGCAAGATGGGACTTTTGTTTAAATGCTTGAGACAGAGGTAGATGTTATTTTCCAGTTTCTTTCTGGCATTCCACAGGATGGAGATATATATATATATATATATATATATATATATATATATATATGGGTAAAATGACATTTTTTTCATTATGTGAAATAACATGGTCTAAGAGCAGAGTGAACAGAGAGAAAACAAGTCCTGCATTAAATCAGGACAGAAATCAAGCCAAAATACCACTGGACTTTTCAGTTATATGAACTAACACACATACTTTTTGCTGAAGATAATTTGGACTAAAATTTCTTTTGCTTGTAGAAGATTCTATTTAACTCACCTCAAAAAGGTTGTTGATAGGATTAAATAAGACATGTCAAGCATTAACTTCAGTAACTGGAACAAAATAAGATCCTAATAGTAGTAATGAGAAAAAATATTCTCATTTTGCTTCTAGGACCATAAGCATACCCTTTGATGAGGGATGCTAGCTTTTCATGTTATTCATGTCAGCCAATACTGCTAGCTTGAAAACAAACGGGTATTCTGATTTCTTGCTAAATATTTTAACCATACAGTTAATATACAGGAGAAAGACTGAACCTCTATGAAGCACAAGGTCATAGGTTTCTTTGGGAATATTCATACATATGACATTTTATTCTTCTGGATTTTTGCCTTCAGTGTCCCCTTTCACACCTTGTTCCTTCACTAATTTTCCCTAAGAGTCCCAAATCCTCTTTGAAGAGTTTTCTGACTGAATGGATGTGATTTCTTCTGAAATCTGTTAGCAATTACAGTTTCTGCTAGGCATTTGATACTTACAGGCTCTCTTGTACTGTCGATAATATTAACATTTATAAGTGTCTTAGGTGTCCAATAAGACTTCAAGTTTTTTGAAGTAATTGGGTATTGTCTCTCATTACACCTAATAAAATCACGGGCACTAGAAAATAAAATCCCTAATACAGCAAATTTTGTCTGTTTTATTATTGCTATAATCTGTAGTAGGTAATCAACAAACATTTGTGTTAGGTGAACGTGAAAACCACTACACTATGGAAATAAACATTTGTGAAAAGAATAAAAACTAGTTCTTAATTAGTATTGCTAATTAATGAGTGCTAAACCTTCAGGAAAGTTTTTCTTAAAAAGCTTCACTCAGTTTTAGAACTTTCATACTTTCTTTTTTTTTCCAGTTTTTTGAGACAGGGTCTCACTTTGTAGTGTAGGCTGGCCTTGAACTCACTATGTAGCCCAGGCTGGCCTCAAACTCTCGGAGATCCTTCTGCTTCAGCCTCCCACATGGTGGGGTTACGGGTGTAGGCCACTATGGCTGGCTCATACCTGTTTTAAAAGTTGTAAGGACCCAAACTGGCTAAGAAAGGCTTGGAACAGATTGGCTTAGAAATGGGTAGGGCTCAGGACCCAGGGTTTTCCCTTTCTGCTCTCTGACCACAACTTCCTACCACAGTTCCCACTTCCTGGTCCTCAATGCCTCAAATAACCAACACTTCCTAATTCACTAGTTGGCTAACACTTTTTTTGGTCCTGTTTTTTTTCCTAATAAGCATTCCATTGTCACATACTTCATGATGCCCAGAGAGCGCCCCATTGTTATTCTCAGCTCAGTTAATTGGTGCTTTGACAAGTGCTGTAATCTAATCTTTAGACTTCATACTGACTCATCACTGCCAGAGTGTCACATCAGAATGTCACATGATGCTTTGTTACTGCTCAAAAATCCCTGATGACTACTATACAAAGATGTAAATTTCTTAGGTTTGCACTCATAACCCTCAGTAATACAGTCTCCATTCACTTGTTTTCCCTGATATTACCCAGAACTCCTGGACAGGACTCCCCCATTTGGACTACTACTCAAGCATACTTAGGTCTCCCCAAACCCTTGTGGTTTATGCCTTTACTTTTGCTCAGGGGACCTAAATGTCCCATGTTTTCTAACCTTTAGCCTGCATCTCTTTTTTCATGTCCAAATTACAATTCTGTGAGATCTTTCTTTGTAAGTAACATTTGGAATTCTGAAGAATGTTCTCAAGTCTGGGAAAACCATTCACACAACACCTGTCATGTGGGCTGCACAGGTCAGTTGTCTCCTTCCAGACAACCTTCCAGTCTCATTTGATCAGAGCTTGCTTTTTCAAAGCTGGCTTCCACAGGCTGCTGTTGTTCTCCAGGGACAATGTCACCCCAGGCATAGTCCCAGGCTGCATATCTAATCCCACACTGTACCACTAAATCCAGACTATAATAGTTCACAAAACTAAACAAAAGCTTTAGGGATAACTAGAAGGACTGCAGTACAAAAAGCTTTAGGGATAACTAGAGGGACTGTAGTACAGAAAACTTAAGCTAGGCATCTAGATATAAAGGTTCCAAGAGTCCACTGGCTAGGCAGAGGAGGGTTTCATTCATATAGATACTCCCAACCTAAGTGCCGACCTTTCCCCTTCTCTGTTTTCCTACTCCCAAAAGTTTCAATTCAAGGCCGGCTGCCCCTGCATCAAATGGACTCTGTCAGGCCGAAAATGGGAATTCACTGTCTTTCAAGTGTCAGGCACTGTGTTAGGCATGGGGATACAAAGGTGAACAGACACAGGTCCTATTTTCATGAGACAGATATTTTTGTTTATTTTTTTGGGGAACAAGGTCTTCCTAAGTAGCCCAGGTTGGCCTCGAATTCAAGATCCCCCTGCCTCAGCCTCCCAAAGTGCTAGGATTACAGGTATGTGACACCATACTTGATTTCATGACAGATGGTAAACCATTACATTAGAAATCCCAGTGTGCAAAAAGATAACAACCCCCCCCCCAAAACAAAAAACCTGGGTGTCTAACTCTGGGGCCCAGGGAGAGAAAGAAGTTGAGCTGAAACAGGAGCATCCAAGGTAGGGCTTTACTGGGGGAAAGAGCTGCTGGGCTGCCTCGAACAATGGCAAGAGAGAGTGAGAGAGCGAGACTAACGGGGTGAGGTTTACATAGGGCGGTGCAGTGGGGAAGAGTATCCTGAGAGTTGAGAATTGGTCGGGTTGCTGGGCAGGCAACAGGACGCCAGGTGATTGGAAGGGGGAGGATCACGCAGGTAGCAGGGTGGAGCAACAAGTTAGGCTTTGCTTCTCCAGAGGGAGTAGGTTTCACTTTTCTGAAGTGGCTCATTTCCTTAAGTGGGAACCATTTTAGGAATGGGAGCCATTTTAGAATGTAGGACGATAGGGGCCATTTTGTCTGGGAGAGAACTCCATCAGAGAGGATAAACCAATTTTTCTTTCACATTCATCTAGTCAAAGTAATAATAATCGGTTAAAAAGTAATTCCTGAAGACATTTTACATTATTATTCAGACAGTTGAGTTCATTTTATTTCCCCAGTCGAGTGTAGTCAAAATTCATAAACCAAATATATGTATTTATATAATTTTCAAAATAACCTATGAATAAGTCTTATTTTCTCCATTTTATAGAAAAGGGAACTAAGGCACAGAAAGGTTAAGTAATCAACTAAAGGTCACCTAGTAAGTAATGGCAAAACTAAGAATTCAGGCCATCTGCCAACCCCGCCCAAACTCTGTATCACATTCCCCTTAAACCTATTTAGATAATTTGCATAATCACAGATAGGTCATTCAAGTAATTTTCCCAAAACAATGGCGCAATCTTTCCTCAAAGGTACGTTCTACTTTTACCTTGAGAGCTGAAAAAAAGTGACTGACAGTTTCTCTTTTACCTCTGGATTTTCACCCAGTCCGGCCCAGCATACCCTGCCACACCTTGCACTCCCTTGAGCTCTCTCTTTTTTTTTTTTTGGTACCTGGGATCAAACTCGGGACCTTGCGCTTGTGAGGCTAAATCCCCAGCGAGCTCTCTAGTTATTAAAACCATATCAGATTTTCCATAGAAGTCAGATTAAGCCCTCCTTGGGCCTCATTCATAATGACCTCTTCATCTCTGAATTCATGGACTGGTCTCTGTTGTCACTCTTAGAGATTACCTTCCCTACTTGGTTTATAGGGAATGCATATGACTCTAATGCAAACTGCACAGACAGGAAATTCAAAAAGAGCTACTAATTAAGAGGGTCTTGGACCTGAGGGATTGTGCAGTTTGCAAGACTGGTACTTTGGGGATTGAACCCAGGGCTATTTTTAGATTGGGTCTTCCTAAATTGCTAAATTGCTCAGACTGGGATTGAATTTGTAATCCTTAGGCCCCAGCCTCCCATAGTGCTGGAATTACAGTGTGCCACCATGTCCAGCAATTCCATGTTTTTACATAATTTTAAATTACACATAATATACCTATACTCAAATATCACATTGGACTCCATAAATATGTATAATTTGAATGTTTTCTACTATGTATCAACTTAAAAATATTAAAGAAATTCAAGGGAAAAATATAAATATTATAGGTTGAGTATCCCTCATCTGCAAATCTGAAATCAGAAGTGCTGCTTTTTAGTGTCACATCAGCACTCAAAAAGTTTTATACTTGAAGTATTTAGGATTTTGGATTAGGGATGCTTAATCTGCAGTCTCCAAATATAGCAAAATATGAAAAACTCTGAAATCTGAAATCTTTTTGGTCCCAGGCATTTCAGAGAGGGTATGTTCAATCTACAGCAACATATCTGGAAATCAGTTATTCCTTCAGTAAACAATTAAGATACTAAGGGATGATGCTACATATTAAGAGCTAAAGCAAACTTTCTCTTCACAGTTCTGTATCCAAGTTGCCGGCTGCCTTCCACATTCAAATTCAGGTTCAAATCCAAGATTACCCCTGTAATACAGAAGCACATATTCTAAACTTGTTCTTCCTTAAAGTTGCAATGTTTTCTGAAAGCTTTTCCATTATGAGATACATGTCAGTCACTATGCCCATTAAAAATATCCACATTATACCCCCTTAATTCTATGTGTAATGAGAGACAGTACCAAGAGAACTTGTTTCTCACTCTTTTGCCAATTCAATAATACAATCAAGACAACTTTCTCTGTTTACATGTATATTTTTATTAGCTGTGGGGGAGGCTGTAGTTTTAATGTTATGTGATAAAAGAGTTTACAATTACTTTCAGAACATTACTTTTTTTAATTGAGGATTTTGAGTGGAACAAATGAATCAAAAGAATTGCTAGTTTTTTCCTTACTCTAGAGATGTGAACCTTAGGCAATGAAAAACATGTATTAATTGAAATTCTAGTTTAAAAACTAACATGAAAAATTAACAACTCACTTGAATATTCTGGGGAAGAGGTAGTACTTGGAATGGAACCCAGTACCTAATGTACGCCAGTCAAGTGCTCTACCACTGAGCTACATCCCCGAGCCCTTCACTTGACCTCCTCCTCCTTAATTTATTGAGATTGGTCCCTCTAGATAGGCCAAGCTGGCCTTGAACCATTGACCTACCTCAGCCAACCAAGTACTGGGATTACACATGTGTGTTATCATGTCTAGCTTCTCACTTGAGTAAATATGAACGAGAGTTTTAGTTCCTTGTAACTTTCTGTAAAAATTTCACAATCTTTTGTGTAGATTATATTAGGAATTCTTGTATGAGTAGAAATTTGTTAGCCAGACAAATTTTGACAAAGGCCATCTTGGTGTTTGCTTTCTTGTGTTCTAAGCATGCTCTTTTTACATTTTACTTGGATTGATCTACAAAATAAATAATTGCCCATAAATTAATATTAAAATAAAAAAAGATAAATTAAAAAATAATAGATATAGATAATCTGAAAGAACATTAAGACATTTCCCCCACACCAAAACAATGGTATAAAACATTAACATGACGTCTGATAGGATCCACTATAAAATAAGAAAATGTCTGTTCATGATTCTTTGTTGAAGGGTAGCACATACCAGTAGAATCCTGAAAAAAGATAAACCTAAATTACTTAGTATACAACCACATTTAAATGGTAATTAACATATTGACTATTTCTGTTGAAACATCATAAAACATACATAAAATCTTTGAAAATAAATTGGTAATTAACATTTAAAAATATTTATTAACAGCAAAGTCTATGTATATTAGGAATATATCTGTAATACACATAGACACATACATATAATTCATGTCAAGGAATTTACCAAAGGGGAATCCCATCTTTTTAAAAAAGTGCTTTTAATATGCTAATATTACAAAATTTTCTATTTAGCAATTTTCTTCTATCTTTGTTTTCTTTTATTTATTTAATTTTGTAGGAGAGGGTTGAGACAAGGTTCACTATGTAGACCAGACTGGCCTCTAACACATGATGGCCATCATCCCAGGCCTTGTTTTCTTTTAGAACCAGGTCCTTATGTATCACCAGGATAGGGACTATGTTTCTCGTTTGTCACTGTGCTGTAGCCCAGCACACTAGTTGAAACACAGTAAATATTTAATAAATACTTGTTAAGTGATTCAAGATACTTAGAAATTGCATCACATGTAGTATCTTTTGTATGACAATGAATTCAAGTTCAGATTGTACAATATAAAGACATTTATGGCATTTGCTCTATAAACTGTAGCTTGACAGATTAGAAAATTGTGCTCTACTTCATCTGAGTCACAGATTTAGCTCTAAGTAAGGAATATTATTAGATATAGACAACAGAAGGGAAGCAATGGAAAAAAGTTCTCCAAACAAAAGCCTACTCTATCAACTTTAAATTTTAGTATTTTGTTTTTTTGAGACAGGGTCTTGCTACCTTGTAGTTCAGACTGGCCTTGGACACACTATCTAGCTCAAGCTGGCCTTGAGCACAAGGCAATTCTCCTGTCTCAGCCTCCCAAGTGCTGGGATTACAGGCATGCGGCACCATACCTGGTTATTCAACTTATAATTTTAATAAAACATTAAGTTCTGTATCATTATCTTTTCTCCTAGTCATAATGGTATATTAATTGCCAATTCTAGGTGTTTTTTTCTGGTACTGGAGATGAACCCAGGGTGTCTGAAAGTGAGCTACACCCCCAGCTCCACTCCATTAAAAAA